CTCCAATTCTGTGAGAAATTCATTTCTGTTGTTTATAAGCTACCAGTTTATGATACTTTGTTATAGCAGCTGAAGTGGAATAAGACACTCATTGTTGTAAGAGACAAATATGCTTTTCTGATGTCTTTTTGAGCAGTGTCGATATGCATAAGATAGAATAGGAAGTGGTGGCAAACGGCCATTGAAAACTGATCTACAAGAAAAAACTAGCTGAGTGACTCACATTTTATAAGGAATGATGGGTTGCTCAAAATATCCCCATCCATAAATTTGGGAATGGGAGCATGGAACCAAATCCCCAGGGCCTTCTCATACCCCACCCTACATATCACTTCAGAACTTTAAAAGTGAGATAGTTGAGAGGGTGGGGTGAGCAGGTGAAAAAGCGATCCTCTAGTTCTCTCACAACACATTCACTGAACTTTCTTGGCAAAGGGAAGCCTCTTCCATTATTCATTCACATTCTACTCTGGGTCAAGTACAATGCTAGCTGCTCAGGATATAGTGCCTGTTCTCAGTGAAGTATCACAGGCATGTTTGGGGAGACAGAGGGGTAAATAGAACATTGCAATTCACTGTGGACCACAGTCCTCAAAGAGAACAAAAACATGTATAATGGACCTAGCTCGTATCCTACAGGGCTTCCTATGGTGCTTTGTACAGAGACGATCTGCTGCCCTCTGCCCCTTTCTCTATAAGCAAAGGCTTCATAGTGTGATCTGGAACATTTGTACCACCACTAAGAGAATTCAAAGCCAGGATTACATTCTTTGTGGTAATAGGTGTATTTGGTGGTGGAGAGCTTAAAGAATTTTGACTAGTCGATGACTAAGAAAAGCAAGAAAATAATATTTTCCTCTTTAAAGAAAAGAGAGGCTGGGCACAGTGGCTCATGCCAGGCACTGGTATTTTAGGAGGCCGAGGTGGGAGGAACACGTGAGGCCAGTTTGAGACCAGCCTGGTCAGCATAGTAAGACCCTGTCTCCACAAAAAGTAAAAATAAATAAATAAATAAAAATAACTGGGCGTGGTGTTACATACTGTTAGCCCCATCTATGTCGGAGGCTGAGGCAGGGGGATCACTTGAGCCCAGGAGTTAGTTCGAGGTTGCTGTGAACTGTGATCATGCTACTGCACTCCAGCTTGAGTGACAGACAGAGCGAGAGCCCATTTCAAAAAAAAAAATAAAAAGTAAACAGGGTTTGGGGACTAAGACAAGGTAGATTTTTGTTGGTCTCAAGCAAAGAATCTTTTTGCTACTGTTTATTAGTTTCTAGGAATTCTTAGGATAATTTCAAGGAGAGATAGAATATTTCTTGTTTGCTTTATGAATTAATTATTTAAATGGACAAAGAGCTAGGAGTGTGTGAGCATGTGTGGTGGGAGAAGGTTGGGAGGGGACATGTCCCAGTCAGTCCTAACCTATTGCCAGCTCTAGCTGCTTCTGTTCCATCCCAGTATCATGTGCCTGTGTATTCTCCATGGCAGCCACACCGACACTTAATATTTTTGAGACATTGCTCCTCTTTCCTTGGGAATTCTTGCTTTCTTCCTTCGCATTAGATGCTGCTCCACTCTTTGCACCCAAGGAGCAATGTTCTCATACATCCACCATAACACAAATCCCCTTGTTTCATAATCTGTGTATGCCTCTGTGACAGCCACTAGTTTGTATGAACGAACGGGCATAGACCACAAGGTATTATTATCACTAGCACTGGGTCAGTCATATATATAGCACTGCAGAGTCAGATATATAAGGCTTAGTTCTGCTGCATAATTAGCTATGTAACCTTTGGGCAAGTTAGCTAATCATCGTAAGCCTTCATTTCCTTGTCTAAAAAATAGTGGTAATAATAGTACTTACCACATTTAAAAAAAAGCATTTAGGTATGCAAATAAGGTATATAACATACATTCAAAGAACTAAACACAGAGCCAGGTACTAGGTGGACACTCAGTTCATCTTACCTGCGTTAACCAAGTCCTCCCAAGAGTAGAGTTGTTCCTCAGCCTCATTCCTGTTGTATTTTAGTAATTCAGATTACCCGGCACCTAAGAAATGCAGATATTTATGAAGTTCTCAGGCATTGAAAACTTTAAAATTATCTGGGATAGGAACAAACAGCAAAAGGGAAGCATAATTCATAAAGTTTTAACATGATTCAATTAAAATGTCCAAGCTTCAATGTAACTTTCATCTTTAGCACCTCATTACATCTCATTTTTCATCTCCCTGAAAGCATTCCATTGCTGCACTGGATTGATCTCATAAATTGCTTTTGAGAAACAGGTCCCAAGATCCTGTGCCCTCACCCTTGCTTTTTACCATCCCAAGAAACATCCTTTGAATGAGCCAACAACAAATATTACCAGTTATTTGCTTCTGGTATGTATGAAAGGGTACAGTGTGATATCATATTGTAGAGGTACAGAGAGGGTTTGGGGCCAGTGAATATGATCTTTCTCATTTTTAGAGAAACCTCTCTCCCTGCTTTTGGAACGAACTGCAGTAGGGAATGAATTGAGGCAAAGAATGTCTCTAGAGCCAGCATGAAGTTGCCTTTCTCTCAGCTCCTCCACCAGGATTGAGGCCAGGGGTTACAGGTTAACTTATGCATGCCAAAATTTCAAGCTGCATTAGCTGAAAGAAGTTAGAAAAACCAGGGTCCACTCCAGGTTTCATTTCTTCTCTTCTTTTTCCTTCACACTGATTACAATTCCATTTGAGGGTGTGTTCGTTATTTAAAAAGATAAAAGAAAAATCAAACAGCAACAAAAAGCAGCCCTCCAGGTGTCCTTTTCCAAGCCTGCAGCGGTTAGGTGAGTGAGTGCAGGGCATATCTATAATTCAGCTCGGGAATATTTCCCTTAATAATTAATTGAGCATCACAAAAGGAGGAGGCCCAATAGGGCCCTTGAACAAAGCTGCTTCCCCGAGGACGACAGTGACCGTCCCGGCGCCAACCAACCCGCCCAAGGTCGGATTTGCTCCAACAGTCCGGGCACGCGCCGCCACTGCCTGCCTGCTTCATCGGGCGCGCTGGGAGAGGTTCTACAGAGACCCTGTCGCCACTTGAACTTCTGGTTTTGTGTGCGCGCGCGCGCGTGTGTGTGTCCATGTGTTCACTCACGCACGCTCGCGTGTGTGGAAGTGGGGTGGGGATGAACTGTAGAACCTTTTTTTTTTTTTTTTTTTTTTTAATAGAAATGGGCAGTGGGAAAGATCACTAAGATAGAGATCCTCGGGCTGCTGGGCCCTGTGGAGCACGCTTAAACCCCATTCTCCACAAAAAAGGAAAAGAACAAAAAGACAAAATAATAATAATAAGCATAAGACAGAGACTTCCCGGAGCCAAACCTCTAGCCTGCTTGATTCTGGCAGGCCTCAGACAGGCGAGCTGTCTACTTTACCGTTTTAATGTGGTCCAAAGAAATAAGCAAGAAACAAGGAGAAACCCTTCCTCAGATAGAAACTTCAGCCAGTCCGCATGAAAGGCCCAAGAAGTTTTTAACCAGACGTTCCTGCTTTAGGGGACCAAGGACTTGCCCGAGGTCCCGGCTTGCAGCTAGGTTTAACTTTCAACTCAGTGACCTTTTCCTTATTTTAATGCAAAAATTCACGCTCAGAGGTGGAGATTTAAAATGCGAATGATACATAGGTTCTATGAAGAAGTGCACCAGAAAATCTCCACCTCTATATGCTCTGTCCATAGTTCCCCTATGTCCCCTTATGGGAGAGGCCCATAAAAGAAACCCATACCCTGACTTCGAGGAGCAGCCCACTTTTTTTTCTTGGTGTTAGCTCCCTTGTGCGCGCAAGATTTAATTAAAAGAAAGAAAACCAAAGAAACTTGCTTTCTGCTAAGATCTCCTTGATTTCTATCCTGAGGGATCCAAAGAGCCCTCGGTCGGTACCAGAGCCGTATTTCTTTTTGCAGCAACAGGTTATCTGCGGGCTCTTCCCCGCTTTCCAAAGCCCCCAGCCCCGGGCCCACCCTGGAACTCATTCATCTCTCCAACCCTCTTCCCGTAGGACTGCTGCTTCCCTTGCACAGCCCCTAGCCTGGGCCTGATTCCAATTTCGTAACATTCCCCTACCCGGGGTGGAATACAGGTTGAAAGTCGGTCTCCTCCGCACCCCGGAGGCCCAACCCCGACCCTGAAGCCACTCAACTCCTGTGTGCAGGGAAGGCGGAGACTGGGGGATCTGGGCGCGCTGGCAGGCACAGGAGGGCTCCCCGCCTGCAACCTCGCCGGAGGTGCCCCGGGCTCCCAACCCGACAAACCCGCTTTGGGAGGGGGTGGGGTGTGGAGAAGAGGACGAGGCTCGAGGGGAGATCTGGAGAAAGCAAGTTAGGGAGTGGAGAAGATGTCCCAAAGGACCCCATTTTCAGGACTGCACCTCCCGGGGAGCTCCCCGCTCCCAGGCCCTCTGGGGACTCCCGCGCTGCCGTCGAAACCCCCATTCCGGCCCCAAAAGGGACACTTCTCCAGGATTTTCTCCTCTCCTCTGGGGACCGCAGCCAAAGACTCCTGGAATCGATCCCGGATCCTGGGAGTCTGGGGGCCCGGCCAGAGTGCGGGGAGTCGCGGCGTCGTGACTGCGCCCTCCCCGCCGCTCCTGGAGGCGCCCCTGGCGACCGTCGCGAACGCCACACCCTCGGCTCGGCCCTGGCCCCGCCCCCGCCCGGCGCGCGTTCGCGGCCAGGGGAGGCGTGTGCTGCTCCCGCAGCCAGCGAGAGCGAGAGAGGGATGGATGTTGGAGGAGCAATTCGGGCTTAACAAGTGATCACTGCTGTCTAGGATTTTGCTTCTTTTCGGGGGAACCTTGACTTCCTTTCCCAGGCAATCCCTCCTGTACTGAACTCCAGAGGAACCAGGAGTCTTGGGGTCTTCTCTGGGGCAGCCCCGACCCCCACCCCCAGGCTCCAGCCGCGAGGACTCTGTGCCCCCCGCCGGGCCAGGCAACAGAACTTGTTCCGTGGATATTTGGAGCCTCCACCTGCCAAACCCGAGTGATTCCTTTTAACACTCCAAGATCATTCTTCCCCTCCTCCAGCTGTTGCAGCTTGAGGGGGAAAAACAAGCCAGCCGGTGGATTTTCTTTATTTTTATTTTTCGCCCCGCCGGGGAACGGTAAGTATGATACCTTTTCAAAAAAAACCCTTCCTCCGCCCTCTTCTTTTGGCTGTTAAGAAACAGTGGACCTCTGAGGGATAAATAATATCGGGAATGTGACAGAAGGGCATGAATGGAAGGCGGTTAAAAATAAACCAGGAGGTGGGAGAAGGGAGGTGCGGATGCTGCGCGGCGCTCCGGGGGGCCAACAGTTGTTATTTTCCCAACCCTGGGGATGCGGTGAGTGCGCCCTGGCTAATGTGCTGGAGCGGGAACTGAGGTCTGGAGGCGAGGGCGCGATTAAAGATGTCGTTTCCCAACGAGAGGGTTAAGATTTAGCATCGTTTCGCCTCCTCCGATCCTCACCGGTTCCCTTCCTTTGGGAACAGCTGGTGAACGGGTCTGAATTGCTGCCTTTCCCAATGTTTGGATTCGCGTGCATTTTCCGAGCATTTGAGCAACATACATAGGGGCTGCATAAATGGCGTGCGTTGAAGTGTATATTTCTCACGGTGTTGGCTTTTCTGATTCCCTCTCTCTCTCTCTGTCTCAGTTTCTCTCTCTGTCTCTGTCTCTCAGATAAGGTTCAGGTACCACCCTGACACAGTTGCAGGAATTGGCACTGAGAGACGGACAGCCTTGTTGTTGGGGGTGGGGGGCGGTGAGAGGAGGAGGGGCGGGATGTTTGGCTGTTGTTTGGGGGGGGTGCGCCGGAATTAGGGAATAGGTAGTCTGCAAAATCCTGTTAGTTTAATGGTGTTAAAGAAGAAGACAAATTCCTCTGCAAAGATCACTCTCATAAAGGCTCCTGGGAATTGACTTGAATAGACTCTCTTAACAGGAGTACCTTGAGAAAGAAGAGAGATTTTAAAACCAGTCTGGTTTGCTGGAGGAATGATTTTTCTTTTCTCTTCTTTCTCTCCCTCTTTCTTTCTAAATCAGAGATAGTGAAGTAACTAATAGACAATAAAAAGAAGGCAATTTGCTATTTGTCTGGTGGAGGAGGGAGTTAGATAAACAAAAACTAATAATCCCAAATAAATAAATAAATAAATCCCAAATAAATAAAATAAATGTGAAATTATTTGGTGTAGAGCAGAAAGAGGGCAGTTCTAGATCTCCCGAAGAGATGATGGTGAATTAGAAGACTCTCTAATTCATGACCTTCTGGGAGTCAGTTGGGTGGGAGGGCAGGTATGTGTAGTACTCAGGTATACAGGAACTTGGGCTACACTGGGGCTTCATTGAAATGATCATTTTGGGGGAGCTGGGGAAGAAACTGAGCAAACTCTCAAGCTATCTGGTCTGTGCAAGTCTTGAAAGGATGTTGGCCTGACACTCCACAGTGAATATCACCCCAGGATGGTTTTGTAAGCAGAGATTTAGAGACTCCTTGAGGGTAAACATTTCAGCGTATGAGATGTTAGCAGTCAGGCCAAGGAAGGGAGCTAGCATGTGAGATGCCCTCAGTGGTGTATTTTCTGGGGTTTGTGTCACAATCAAAATGCCCTTCTTGCCTAGGAAATTGAGTATGATTGGGAAGGGGTATATGATTGGGAAGACTTCTGTTTGCCACTTCTATGCTTGTCACTTCGTGAAATTCAGTGTGTTTAGGCTGCTAGGCTGACAGGATCAGCAAGAAGCAGCAGGTGGTCAAGAGCTGAATCCTGTTAATGGCTTCAAAAAGCCATTTCTCTTATGCTTTCCAAGTGCTTCCAGTAATAGAAGCTGGTAGATGCCCTGAATTCTGGCTATCATCATTCTCTCCAGTTCTCTGGGTTACTCCCTGCATTCTTGGAAGTCTTGTTGAACAGAGTACATGGAAAAGTCAAGAGGAGATAGGAGATTTGGATGGCGGCTTTTACAGGACTTGGCTGAGGAGATGAATTACCTGGATCTTGGGAGAACAAACTAAGGAAGAAGAAGGACCAGGTGACAGAGGGAGCAGATCAGAGCTGCAAGGGACATGTGATTAGGAAGTGGAAGATTGTAAATAAAAGTGGGCAAAGAGAGAGAGACGGAGAGAGGAGGGGGATGTTGGGGATGTGGATTTATTGAAGTGAAGGTGGGGGTGTATTATAGGCTAAGAATGAAGTCCACACAAGCTGAAATTTAAAAACTAAGGAGATAGTCCCTTGAGCAGAGTGTAGGAGGAACCACTGAGGTGAACATGGGGCGACCACAAGGAGAGAAAATGATTATTAGGGAAGTGGAAACTGGCATTAGTTCCTAGTCTGTGGGTGGTAGGGGGTGTTCAGGATTAAGGGGGACAGAAAAACAATGGGGACATGCTACAGGGAGTCAGGCAGTGCCAAGTTAACACAGGCCATTGGTGAGTCTCAAGATGTCCTGTATGTCCTCACATTCCATCTTCCCTTACTTTAGTGGCCTAAGGACACAAACATTTGGGACTGTGTAGATAGACAATAAAAACATAGGTTACTGTCATGTTATTCATAACTGCCAGTGTTTCATTGCCATTCATTAGGTAAAAGGCACTGTGATATTTTATCAACATCCATTATCTCATTTAATCCTTACAAACATGGGCTCGGGGAAGTTGCATTATTATTTGTACTTTATGGATGAGGTGATTGAAGCTCATTCAAGTGGTGCCGTCTGGACAAAAGAATGCTGTTTGGTTTTTGTTTTTCTTTTTTTTGTCTTCTGACTCCCCTAATCCTGAGTCAGAAGATAGGGAGGAGTGGAAGGGCACTTAATTCAGAAACATTTTACGAGTGGAAATTTTAAAAACTGCCTCGACATAGATGAATGATGGAAGCAGTTATAAAGTCACAGCATTATTTTTTGTGGAATGAAGAGAGTGACAGTGAGAATTAAGACCTGGTGTTCGTGAAGGGGAAGATAGAAACAAGAGCCATGTGGGCCATGAGGGGAGAGAGGAAAAATAATTGAGTTGCCATAAAAAATACTGAGCTAATATAATAACCGAAGAAGAAGCAAAGAAGGATGTTTAGTGAGTAAGAATAGCCTGCCCCATACTCTTTAAAATGTATGGGTGCTTAGTGTGTTATATGACCTGCTTGAAGTTAAGAGAAGGATGTGTATGTGAAGACAAATGCTCGGTTTGCTCTTTATGATTTGTTTCGTTTTTATTTTTTTTCCTATGCTTGTTTCCAATCCTTTTTCAGGTGAAGCGCTTCTTCTGCATGATTTTGGCTGAAGGATGCTCTGCATTTCCTTGATGTCTATGGAGACTTCAGAGCTGGTTTTGCTTCTGCTGACACCTCATCTAGCACCTTCTCTACCTCCCAGGGTCTTTGCCTCTATCTATGGTGTGGCATTGCACCTGGGTCCAGGAAGCCTTTGATGAATTTAAAAGGAGAGCCTGGAGAATCATCCTGATAGACTTTGAGCAGAAATGGCTGGACATACTTCAAACCACATCTTAACATGGGTGGAGCCATCATTAGAAGGCAAGTGCTAACAGTAAAGGCTTATTTGCATTTTATTTAAATTTAATGGACTGAGCATTGGCCAATTTCCATGGGAGAAAAATATATTTCATTTTCTAGGCATAACTTCTGACTGTCAGACACTTGCTGCTTTTGAATCTTGCAGCGTCATTACTAAGCACGTCCCAGACACTTTTCCAAATTCGAACATCTACCCCCAAAACATAGGTGTCTGAGAGACTCCAGCGTTTTCTGACTTCTTAGGATTGAGAGTGCTAGGCTGTTTATCTCGACCAGCCAAGCTCTGGAGAGCAATGTTGAATCCCTGAGAAGAGAGAGCATGGGGCGTGCTGATTTAAAAACAGAAAATGCAAAGTTGGACTGAAAATATCCTTAGTCTTCCAAGCAATCTGCTTAAGGGTTCCAAACTTACCTTAATTTGGTGAGAAAAGAAGCTGCCCTATTTTTCTTTCTTCTTCTTCTACAACTGGAACCAGTCATTTCCGAAAACCACCGCCATGGAGGTTGCAATGGTGAGTGCGGAGAGCTCAGGATGCAACAGTCACATGCCTTACGGTTATGCTGCCCAGGCCCGGGCCCGGGAGCGGGAGAGGCTTGCTCACTCCAGGGCAGCTGCGGCAGCTGCCGTTGCAGCGGCCACAGCTGCCGTCGAAGGAAGTGGGGGTTCTGGTGGGGGGTCCCACCACCACCACCAGTCACGTGGGGCCTGCACCTCCCATGACCCTCAGAGCAGCCGGGGAAGTCGAAGGAGGAAGCGACAGCGGCCTGAGAAGAAGAAAGCCCACCACCGGCAGAGCAGCTTCCCTCATTGCTCTGACCTGATGCCCAGTGGCTCTGAGGAGAAGATCCTGAGGGAGCTGAGTGAGGAGGAGGAAGATGAGGAAGAGGAGGAGGAGGAGGAAGAAGAGGGAAGGTTTTACTATAGTGAAGATGACCACGGTGATGAGTGTTCCTATACGGACCTGCTGCCCCAGGATGAGGGCGGTGGTGGCTACAGTTCAGTCCGCTACAGTGACTGTTGTGAACGTGTGGTGATAAATGTGTCAGGCCTACGCTTTGAGACTCAGATGAAAACTCTGGCCCAGTTTCCAGAGACTTTGCTGGGAGACCCTGAAAAGAGGACTCAGTACTTTGACCCTTTGCGCAATGAATACTTTTTTGACAGGAACAGGCCCAGCTTTGATGCCATCTTATATTATTACCAGTCAGGAGGCCGCCTGAAGAGGCCAGTCAACGTCCCCTTTGATATCTTCACTGAGGAGGTGAAGTTCTATCAGTTGGGGGAGGAGGCCCTGTTGAAGTTTCGGGAGGATGAGGGCTTTGTGAGAGAAGAGGAGGACAGGGCCCTCCCTGAGAATGAATTTAAAAAGCAGATTTGGCTCCTCTTCGAATATCCAGAGAGCTCCAGTCCCGCCAGGGGCATAGCCATTGTGTCCGTCCTGGTCATCTTAATCTCTATTGTCATCTTTTGCCTGGAAACCTTGCCTGAGTTTAGGGACGACAGGGATCTCGTCATGGCACTGAGTGCTGGAGGGCATGGTGGGTTGTTGAATGACACCTCAGCACCCCACCTGGAGAACTCAGGGCACACGATATTCAATGACCCCTTCTTCATCGTGGAGACGGTCTGTATTGTGTGGTTTTCCTTTGAGTTTGTGGTTCGCTGCTTTGCTTGTCCAAGCCAAGCACTGTTCTTCAAAAACATCATGAACATCATTGACATTGTCTCCATTTTGCCTTACTTCATCACACTGGGCACCGACCTGGCCCAGCAACAGGGGGGTGGCAATGGTCAGCAGCAGCAGGCCATGTCCTTTGCCATCCTCAGAATCATTCGTCTGGTCCGAGTATTCCGGATCTTCAAACTCTCCAGGCACTCCAAAGGCCTGCAGATCCTGGGCCACACCCTCAGAGCCAGCATGCGGGAACTGGGCCTTCTGATCTTTTTCCTCTTCATTGGGGTCATCCTCTTTTCCAGCGCTGTGTATTTTGCAGAGGCGGATGAACCTACTACCCATTTCCAAAGCATCCCAGATGCATTTTGGTGGGCTGTGGTGACCATGACAACTGTGGGCTATGGGGACATGAAGCCCATCACTGTGGGGGGCAAGATTGTGGGGTCCCTGTGTGCCATTGCGGGTGTCTTAACCATTGCTTTGCCAGTGCCAGTGATTGTCTCTAACTTTAACTATTTCTACCACAGAGAAACTGAAAATGAGGAACAGACACAGCTGACGCAGAATGCAGTCAGCTGCCCATACCTCCCCTCTAATTTGCTCAAGAAATTTCGGAGCTCTACTTCTTCTTCCCTGGGGGACAAGTCAGAGTATCTAGAGATGGAAGAAGGAGTTAAGGAATCTCTGTGTGCAAAGGAGGAGAAGTGTCAGGGAAAGGGGGATGACAGTGAGACAGATAAAAACAACTGTTCTAATGCAAAGGCTGTGGAGACTGATGTGTGAATTGCTTTCTCCACCTGCCACTGCCCCCCCAAGCATCTCCAAATATATTTATGCATAGAGAGTGCAGTTATGAAAATGAAATATGCAAATGATCCAATGCATACAGTAGTACACCATTTAATGGTTATACATGGCATAATTGTACCTAAACTTGTATTACATATCAAATAAATGATATATCCTGGAGAAGAGGGAGGCTTAAATAGGAGCAAATCTATCTTTATATTTTTATTAGAATGCAAGAGTTTTGCACATTAACTAGAAAAGATGTTAGTGAAAATGGAGAGAGAGTGTGTGTGTGAGTGTGAGTGTGTGAAGTAAATTGTTAATGTTAGTAATTGTGCAGTGATGGGAAAAGTTGGCATTTTGAAGTATTTACTATGTAAGAACTAATGAATTTGAACAGTCATTTATCAGTGCTTTAATAGCATCTCATATGTCTTTGGATTCTGTAGTTGTTTTTTAAAAATTGTAAGAATTGCTGCGTAGAGAAAAAAGAAAGTAAATTATTTAATAGAATATAGGTCACAATTTTATCTTGGATTTAATTAAAGTTTATTTTTAACTGGAAATTAACTTTTAAAAAGGCTGCAAGGGCCTCTAGAAATTGATTATATTTTGTTATTAATTTTGGGAAGATTTGACAGCAAATGTCTAACATTATAGAATAAATGACATTGGAGAATATGTAATAAGTTTTGTTTGCAGGTAACAGGACTGGAATTTTTTTTTTTTTGCACTTCTTTATATGCTGGAGATTGAGAGAGACTTCATACTGTGAATGTTTGCTAATGTAACAGTTCAATGACAATCATTGGAAGAATGATTTCTCTAGTCTTATTTTATTGTTTTCATTGTGTGAGACTAATGACCAGGCAGATAACATCACATGATTCTCTCCTCTTTTAAAATCTAAATAACTGATCTACAAAGGAACTATGAAGTAAAATTTAGCAACTGAATCTTTTGAAATTGGTCTGTTACAATGATGCTTCTGAAATCATATATCTTATATGTTCTTCTGCCTTTCAACTCCAGAAAAATTTAACCAAAGTTAATGCATGCACTGAAAGAATTCTTGAAGAAATAAGATGCCCAGCAGCTACAGTGATTATGGCCTAAAATTTTTCTATTAAATGTGCAATATAAATGCTAGATTTATTAAGTTTATTTTTTTGTGCAGTTATATAAGAACAGAATTTGAGGATTAACCTCAGATTTTAACATTTTATTTGCTAAAATGAATATAAGGAAGAATTGTGTCCAACATTTGGTTTCAACATCACCATCATTATCAACTTTATTAAAGGAAATTATGACACATATAATTGCATTTAACTCACCACAAATTGTTCTAGAATGTGAGATAGCAACTAGCGATCAGCCTTGCACTATTAAATCATAATGAGGTATAGTTTAGAAAACTGGGGATGCATACAAGGCCTTATTCCACAATGCTTCTTTAAGTTTTAATCTTTGTAAAATAGTTGTCTTGAATTCTGGGCAGGGGACAAAACAAACAACACTGCATACACTTTTCAGCACATAGCGAACTCTGGTAACTGTGAGCTAAAAACAAGCAAACAAACAAAATGACCTAGAATGGCCTTTCTCAAGCTTTCTAAAATCCAGGCCATCATTTCATAATTACATAAATCCTACCTCTCTTTTAATGGTATTTGAAATTCAAAGTAAATTCAACGTTAGGGTTCAAAGTAAAGCTGCGCCCCCTCTCCACCCCTTCCCCATCATTTGTAGAGAAACTCTTTTCTAGAAACCTTTTAGATAATGAAAAAGCAAGCAGGACCTTTGATTGAGTGTGAAGACCAAAGATCAATAGAAGACAATAGAGAATGATAAAACAACAAAATACCATCTTACAATAAGACTTCAAAGATAACGTTTTAATGCGTTTTAGATTTGGGGCAAAAAATGTAATAAGCCTTCGGCTGGGGGTAAGGTTATTTGGACTGGTTATAATTAATTTGAAAAAGTTACTTAACATCTCTGGACCAAAATTTCCTGAATGGTAAAAAAGAGGGCAAATGAAGCATGTTACATGACAGAGTTAGGCAAAACAAATGAGAACATAGAAAAACTCTGAAATGTTCAGTTCTGTACAAAATGCCTGATCCTATGTCCAAATGGTTTAATCTTCCTCTGGGAGAAAAGGGGATTTAGAACCCATAAGCATACGTCTACTTCGTTAGGATATTGTAAAAATTATGGGCAATTGCTTAAACTTTGGAGTCCTTACAAGAAGTAGATATGTAGACACAAGACAGTCTATTGCTGATAGATTCAGGCATGTCATAGTATAGAAAGTTGACTCTGTGAACAGACCATGTGTCTTACAATATAACCAACTAGGTCAGATTTTATCTTAAAATAATTTAAGGGCTGTCTAGTAGAAAGGATATTTATTGAACTTTCTATAATAGCAATGACAATGATTTGGCTATGTTTGGAAGGGAAATGTACTGTATTTCGTTGTTTCTATAATATCTCCTTTTTAAATCTAAAAGTTATATTAATTTGATTGACAAAACACATTTTATTGATAATTCTGAGAATCCAGGAAATATAGTCATTTGGGGATTACCTTTATTTCACATGGCTTTTTTTTTTTTTTAGGGTGAAAAGTTCAAGAAGTGATAGTCATGAGCTTTCAAACCAAATATTATTAGGTTACCATACTAAACTCATGTTTTCTTTCTCCCGGCAAGATGCATTTATTTTAGAGTATCTGGATCTTGATCCCACACTGAGAAGAAAACTTTTAAGCTCTCAAGATTTACATGGGGGTATTTCTGTATGGAACACTTCTCTTACAAGAGAATTCATGAAATCAGGACATCCAGTACAGCTGTGGATTCATAACATTTTTCCTAGTTGAAACTAGTCAAAGTACTTTAGAACCATTTGTAAAAATTTATACTGACAAATATGCTTTCCGGACCTATTTGTAACTAATTTAGGTAACTGTATCTTAGACACCACTATACACATTTGGTTGTAAATTAAAAAGGAACTGACCTTCTTTAGAGATCCAATTCTTGGGATCTGGGATCCTTTTATTGCTTTTCAGATGATAATAGCTGTTACCAAAAGCACCACTATCTGAGGGTCATCCTAATCAGAGTTTTTTCAAGGGTGGATGCATTGTTCTGTCTTGCAAATGCTTGCAGAGGAAACAGTTATGCACAACAGTTATGGAGAAGAAAGGAGGAATAAATAGTACTTTTGATTTCCGTGAAAGGGAGCCAGTGGGTGCTAGAGGAATGACAGCTGGTCTAGGGAGTCAAGAGAGCTGGCTTGTTAATCGTGGGCAAATCGTTTCATCTCCTTGATCCTCAGGACTTTTTCTCTCTCTCTCTCTTTCTCTCTCTCTCTCTCTCTCTCTCTCTCTCTCTCTCTCTCTCTCTCTCTCTCTCTCTCTCTGTCTCTCTCTCTCTCTCTCTCTCTCTCTCTCTCTCTCTCTCTCTCTCTCTCTCTCTCTGTGTGTGTGTGTGTGTGTGTGTGTGTGTGTGTGTCTAAAACTGGGCCATTGAGCTACATTATTACTTCGTTCCTTTTAGTACCACAATTCTACTGTGGAGTAAAGGAAACGTCAGACTAGCTTGATATTTCCTAAGTACTATTCAAGTCATATCAGCTTTAATTTCTAGTAAGGAATATGGGCAAAAATAAATAAATAAAAATAAAAATCTCACTGTTAGGTTAACCACAGAACAGGTGTTTGAGTTTTTTAGAATGTAGACTAAGCTGAATGAATAGGACATATTTTGAAGCAGTTATCCTAACAACTTCTAAAGGGAAGGGATTCATTTAATGAAAAGCAACTCTTCCGTCCTCAGTTGAATATATATGGTGAAAATTGGTGAGTAAACATTTTGATGTCTTGCTTTCTTATCATAGGGTCTTGTCAGTAAACAGTATTTTGACCTGTGCTGGGGAACTCATTTTATGCTTAGACATTTGTAGTGTTTCACAAGTGCTACTACATGCTTTGTCAAGTTTGTTTGAAACAGGATCACCAAAGCTTCCTGAAATTTTTTTCATTAAGCATGTGTTGAAATAGAACCCAACATATGAATAAAAAAATACGTAAAGAAAATACTCTGAACTAAGATACATATTTTCCCATTTAAAAAAGTCATTATTAACCAATGGCAAATTATTTTTAATAACACTGGAATCACAAACAGCAGCCCCGTACCTCCCAACACAATCAGAAACAGTGTTCTTTGTTGCTTTTAATTTTCAGGGTTTGGATGAGCTTTTAGTACTAACATTACATATGTTAGGGAAAGTGAGAAATATACCTATATTCAGTTCACATTTTTAAAAATGAACCTGTGGTGATGTGCTCATGCGCACGTAACAGCATAATATCCCTCTTTCTGTGTATGTGTATATTTTATTGATACAGTTTAAAATGATTACAGGGTGTCATTCAGTGACAAAAGGGCCTGTTCCAGGAAACTTCCTTGATCCAAAAGTCATTCTGAATTCTTCAAGGGACATTTGATGTGGACAAAGGTACCTTTTGGTTTTCCTTCCTGTAAAGAAAGTTGACTCTAGGCACAGTATCTTCCAGACCAGTGTAGCCACTGCAGGTTAGCAGACAGTTCTACTTTCTAGTATGAAAATCAGTATTCCTATTTGAGAAGAAGATCGTTGGAGTGATTGTGTTTGCTATTGAAGGAAGCAGGGCTATTTTTTTTGTAATAATTGGGAATATGTACTTCTGAAAAGTAAATTAAGATTAGGACTGTGATATGAGTTTTATTTCTGGCTTGGTTTTGTTTCCATAGCAGTCCCAATTTCTCACAGTATCTTCTTCATGAAAGTATGCTAATACACATCAGACCATATGGCCCCATTTGAGGTTTAGAAAATATGGTCACCTTATTTATGGATAAATAAATTAATCCCAGGGCATAAGTTGGTTGCTTAAAAATATGGCACATATTTAATGAGCAGCAGCTCTAAGTGAGATTCAAGCATTGCCCTTTCAGGCCTGTGGGACAGGAAGAGATGTATAAGGCAAATCATGTGCTCAATATAAATTCTCCCTGTCATCTTGAAAAGCATATTCCCTGATTCACTGGAGGTAGTGTAGCTGACTTAAGGTTCAGCCTGTTGGTCCGTTTGTTGTCATTGGTGTCTTGGAAGGAAGCTTTTCATCCAGGTGTCAGGAGCTAAAATGATGTTGGTAGTTGATACACAAATAGTCCATTCTTGCTTCCTACCTGCAAACAGTCTGTTTTGTGGGTTATCCGTAGTTGGTTTTTCGCCCGAGGCTGTCTTTACTCAGACTCAGAAGCCTATTGTCTTCTGTTAAATAGCAAGTCCAGGAAAGGTAAAATTATAAAAAGATAAGACAATCCAGTACAAAGAAACAGCAAATCACTAGAACTAGAAAGCCAAGCAAAACCTAAGTGGGAAGCCAAATCTGTTGTTCAAACCGTTACATAAGCTAGAATTAATTATGCAGAATCTGGGTGTAAATTGGTCCTGCCTCATCACTATAGCAGAGATAACCAAGAGGTGGCTATTGTGATGGAGGACATCAAGCAGAAATAACCTGCCCCGTGAATATATAGTTTAACATTTTCTGTGAAAACGATAGAAATGCCAACCCACCTTAGCAGTTTTAATAATAACTATTAGGAATGACTAATAAATATGGAAGACATGCTGGTTTCTTTTCACAGTAATTAGTACTATGTGGGAATGTACTTAGATTGTTTCGCACGATTCTGTAGACGAAGGGCTATTTCAAAGTCAAGGAGAATGAAGGCATTTTTATCCACAGCTACTTAAGCTATTGGCTGTTACCTCTTAAATCAGTCAAAGCAGTTACATACATAGTCTCTGTGGATATCAACAAAAGCTGTGCCAGGGCTAAGTCTAAGAATTATATTTGTTTTAAAATAGTTATTTGTGAATATATAATATATCCATATGTTCACATATATTATGTATTTTACTTTCTGCCTTTATTCTGGCAACAAATATTAGCAAAATAAATGATCTGAGGTATTGAAAGAGTCTTCTTGAAGTGAAGTAAAAGTGTATAATTCCCACTAGTAGCCAAATGTATGTGTTTGGAGAAATGGTGAGGCTGGTGGACTAAAAAAACCTTTCTTTACACATTAGGTTGGATTTTTGTGCTTATAACCACAATAGTACTAGTCCTCAGCTCTGAGACTTGCATAAGGGCATATGGAGTTTCATTCCCAGAAGGAAGGGTTAATTTTTATGCTGTACGGAACATTGAAAATTGTTGATTTTAATTTTTTAATGCACATTATTCTCATTATATAAAGGATGCACATTAGCATGGAAACTAGACTATAGGACCTGAAAAACTATGTGCCTATGTGCTCTCCAGAAATAGAATTACCAGAAGCCATTATCTTTCTGTATTTTTTTTGTAGCATTTGTTTAATGTGAATTGCCTAATTCTCTCAGGTTCAATTACAGCATTAAATGTTTCAGGTTATTGTTGTTTTTAGAGAATATTCCATATCTTTCTTAGGCTCTGAGGGCACACAAACAACCATTCAGTAGTTGGAAAATACCGTATCTCTTGGAGATCAAGGCAATATTACCTGAACTCTCTCCACGACAGCAGCCACATTAGTTAACATGGAGGATGTGTGTTTTTCTATTTATAAACTTAACACACTTGTACCTGAATAGAATGATGATTTCCCTGAAGAACACTAATGGTGTTGATAGCACCTGAGTGCACCTTTTTTCTTTCTGTCAATTGGTAGGGATCATGATCCAAATGAGGCTTTCATTTGCTCTCAGGCAGAGTAGGAAATAATTAATGAAGCTCCCACTGGACTGAAATCTGTCAAGAGGTGATGGAATCTCTAGGGAATGCATTAGGATTTTTATTTATTTACTTGCCCTTCCTAGTTGGTGTCATTTTTGCATGATTATTGGGGAAAGATTAATTTTATGATGATTTACCTAATGTTAAAATAACTTTTGATAAAAAACAATTAGAAATTATAAGCATTGCAGTATCTTATTAGCTTCAGGAATGTCTCCAGTTAAATATTTTAAGAAATTAATATGAGATTTGGAGATTGCAATAGTTATTTGGAGAGAGATATATCCAAAGAATAATGATTTAGTTATTCGTATTTCTTAAGAAACCTGAGTTTTATAAGCTTCACAAGAGATATTCAAAAAGTCTCTCAACTTCCAAAAATTTTGCTGTAACCCTGTCAGATTTCAGAAAGAAATGCAAGAATTCCTCTTAAGAGGAAAATGGTACCTTTTTTTTCTTTGTGTGTGTATGTCTTTTTCACATTCTTGATTAAATTGGTGGATTTTATATGATCATGTTCTAGCAAATTGAGTGAAAATCTTGGCTACACATTGATTAGAGGATGACAAGATTGTCTGATAGTCTTCCTTCGCAACATTTGCTGTTGATCAGTTTAGAAGCTGATTTCAGTATATGTAAATTACAACACAAGGAAATGGCTATGTACTGTATTAGAATCTAAATGACAAAGCAAAAATATTAGGAATAGGATTTCCTTTTGGGTTCCTAGAAGTGTTCTTAGAGCTTTTGAACCATGTCCTCCGAATCTGATGTAGACAATGAGAATTTAGCAAACTCATTTTTTTTCCCTAGAGTAGCAACAAGATATAAGCAGGATCAGTGCCAACTGGGAGATAGGGACAGGAGCAGGGGGGTGGGCAAGGGACAAGGAGTATATGCCTAAATGGAGTCACTAATATGATGGTGAAAATAGTTAGGTCAGTCTAAAAACTGCTTCATTTTGTCACACTATTAATTTTTATTAACACAGAGAATCCAGGAAAGTGAATTGATCTCTAAGAGTAGGCATATATGTGTGCATGTCCAAATATTCCCTTTGCTCTTCGTCTTTGAGGACACTCACATAGGAAACCATAAAACTATTGCTGGAAATTAAAACTATATGTCTTATTAAGAATAAAATTCACCTTTCCCTTCAGAGTAAGGGACTTATGTCTTTAGGAGATTACCACTTGGACATTTATATTTCAAAGGGAGAGAATCTCCCCCTTATCCTAATGTAGAATGTCAGCCTGGCAATGCATTCAAGCTAAGACATGAGTAAGCAACCAGTAGAAGCCCTGGGAATGAATGTCACTAACACAGAGCTGAATAATGTGTTTATGTTGGTTATTGCTGGTGTGCAATTCTTAGAGGAATGGAGAAATCATAAAATTTGTGCAACCTAATTAGAACTCTGCCATCATATGCTCCTTGCTGATTTAGCTGCTGCTGCTGCTGCTGCTACTGCTGCTGCTTCTCCTCCACACAGAAAAGAGGTGTCATTTCACTACTAGAAGCTACATACTTCACAGGTTTCAAGGCAGTGTGAGAAACAGTGGAGGGAGAAAGGGTTAGATTAGATAGATGAGGATGAAGCAACATACAGTATTTTAAGGTGTGAATCATCCTGTGACACCAGACTATTTTTACTCACTCAAGGGACTAAGCAGAATCTTTGGATGGGAGAACCTCTGTTCAGGAATTACCATTTCCTTTTTGTATGTCTGTAGTATCACTATTAGAGATCAGTCTAGTCTAGCAAGGGGATAAATTCTTCCGTCATTGCTAAAACAAGCTGAAAATTACATGCTGGAAAGTTTTTTTTCCCTCATTTCAGTTAAGAAAAAATTGTAGTTGTTTTATAAGCTTTGCAAGAGAGATTCAGAAAGTCTCTCAACTTTCAAAGATTTTGCTGCAACCCTGTCAGATTTCAGAAAGAAATTCAAGGTAGGTGAGCCTAATAGAACTTCAGACCAAATATAAACTTGTTCAAAGCAAAGTATCCAGGGACCTCCTTCTAATATCTTCTCCCATGCCAGGTTAGCTTTTTTTGTTTGGTTGGTGTGGTTTTTCCACTTTCCCTCCAATCCATCTCATCCCATTCACCTTTGTGCCAACAAAAGCCCAGATCAGCAAGGCTTTTGCGGTCCCTGTTTGCAGATTTCTCAGGGAGAGTTTTTTATGTGTGATTCAGGTAGACGTCTTCCCATTTTATAAATCAGGTCATGCCAGTGCATATCCAGAAAGCTTCTACAACCACCTGCAATGTGGGTCTGTTGTGTTCTGTTGTTATGTTAGCTATTTTCTGCCTATTACTGAACAGCTGGGATTTTAGAAACAGCTGGATGATTAGTTGTGTTTTTTCCATTTTTCACCCAGATGCTTTATTACTGTGTAGAAACAACCCCAATGTGGAACAACCTGGGAGTATACAGCAAAAATCTGCTCTGATGCAACTGTAGTTATTAGGAATTGAATCAAGAAAATTACAGGCAAACAGTTTTGACTATTGCCTGCTTTACAAACATGTTTGATACAGCGTTCTCATTTCTATTTCTAGGCAGAATGGTTTGATTTAGCAACTTTAAATGCCTCTCCCATTGTTCCTTAGGCTATCAAAGCTATGCTTTGGCTGTTACATTTGTTTGCTGAAAGGGAAATGTCTGCACGCAATGAGGCATCACCTGAGTTTTCCATTCACTGCTGGCAAAAGGAGCTGACAGAGGCAGGCAAGCGACAGTCCTCTCACTCGCCACAGTCTATTTTTAGGTTGGTTCCTTTGTGGCTGACTTCAGTTCTGACGGGATGTATTGACATTCAAAGACAATGAAATATTTTATTATAATGATTTATGGATTTATTAAACTGGATGTTGTGAAAGTGACAAATTTAATTCAGGTGCTGTTAGTTGGTTCCTTACCCAGCGCTAAAATTAGAATAAAAAGGATGCGTAGACGTCTTTTCCTTTCTAATTATTCTTTCAACAGATGTTTGTTAAGCTTATACTAGGTGGCTGGGCTGTGTAATGTACCCAATCTCTAGATCTACTAAAATTTCAGAGAATCACAGTTTATCTAAGGATTTTTTTTGAGATATATATTCATTGTTTCTAAATAACAGGATTCTTGTTTATTATTATGATTTCTTTTTGCCCCTTTAGAATCTATATGTATGGCTAGGTCTAGTTTCTTTTTGGGGAGGCATCATGCTTTCATAATACTTCCTTTTTATAAGTTCTGTCTTGTTTCTGTTACGTGCTTTGTTTTCGGTAATAGCTTCTCTATGAACTGCAGAGTAAGTGGGCCTAAATCCAATTTGCCAATTTTTTTATGATTCTTGCATGAGCAAGAACTATACTCAAGTAGAGGTGATTATACGAACTGTATTTACTCCTTTTAATTCATAGAATGTATTTCTTCCATTCAATAACATATAATTAAACTATAACTCAAAGAAAGAAGCAGATTTAACTGAAATATTAAACATTTGTAACGCAATAAAGTCTTTTTTTAATTTCAGAGTAATTTTCTATGACCATGGTTTTCTTTGCACACAAAACTATTTTTTTTTTTTTAAATAACCATCTGTATCTTTCTATTTAGGAAAGATATGAGTGCCATTGATGGTTCATTTACAAATTCTGGCTTGAATAAAAACTTGAGTTTATTTCTTGGATGCATGTGGAAAGGGTTGTTCTTGTTGTTGATATTCCTACTACCTAGGCAAACCAAATGGAATTGCATTAATTACATGGCTAAGCCAGGACAGTTGAGACCAACTTTAGGGATTTTTATGAGGTGCCTTCCATCTGCATTGATTGATTTCAAGAGATGTTTGCTCAGGTTTCCATTTGCTTTCAAGATAATGTCTGATACATTAAGTTAAAGTTAAGGCTTTACTATTTGAAATGCAGTTGTAATAACATTTTTAGCTCTCTCCAACTAACTTTAATTTTTTAAGAACTTGAACTTCTATAAAATGTATTTTTAAACTACCTTGTTTGTTTTCTGAGTGTTTCAGGACTTACTTTAGAGTCCCTGACTTTTAGTCTTCATTCAAGCCAAACAACCATTATCTTTAATTGAAGCTGCTTCTACTGGAAGCCAAACAATTGGTGGAGTCACTGAAGAAAAGAAAAAAAATGCCAAGATGATTATCTGGCATTGTGAAGCCGTTGATTCAATTCTGCTTCATTAAAGCCATTAGAAGCAAACAGATCCTGGATTATCTTTAAATTTAGGCATTTTTCAATTGCTATCTATTCTGTCAAGGAAATACCTTTAATTGTAAAACTATTATCTTGTGGGATATATATATAGATTTTACTTTGGCAAACTGCAGCTATTTCTTGTGCTTTAGAAATATGACAATCTGTATATTAAAAATTCAAATGAAACCATGATTTTTCTATCTTAAAATGAAGGCATTTTTTTTCCACAATTTTTCACGAAGTGTATTTGCAAACCTGAAAATATATATTAGCCTGAATAGCTGACACACAGGTAATATTTGAAGATTTTTACACAAATAACTGAGTTGCTTATTATTACTGTATGAAGAAGGAAATGACTTACAAGTTTTTTACACACTGGAAAGTGAAAATGGAAGGCCATATATTAACATTTTCTGATAGCGACCAAAGGCCATATATTTATTTACATTTTCTGAAAGAGACCAAAGGCCGTATATTCATTTACATTTTCTAATAAATACCAAAATGTTCTGTGTGATTCATTCAGAAGTTCTTTAGTGGAAGTCAAATGCATTTGAAATATGTCAGTCAAAGGGTACAAAGGCTTATATAGGGGGAACGAGTTTGACGTTTTTTGAGATTAATTGCACAGCATGGTGAATATAGCTAATATTTTAGTACTGTACATTTCAGTAATGTTAAGAGAACAAATTTCAAATGTTCTTCTCACAGAAATGTTAAATATTTTAGGTAGTGAACAGGTTAATTAACTTGATTTAATCATTGTACATTGTATTAAAAAATCCTAATACTACTTTGTATTCTATGAAGTTATAGAACTATAATTTGTGAATATATAATAAAAAATTATAACTTTCTACGTCTAACTAGAAATATAATTTAGAAATGTGATGTTACATTGTGCAGATTACATTTCTGATATTTAAAATACATTTATATTATGTAATATTACCCTATTTAAGGCCTGTTTTTTTTTTTTTTTTTTTTTTTTTAGCATACTAAATAGCCTAACAGGCTATGTGTGAATGTTGTCAAAATAATTTGACAGTTTGAAAGTCTATATCCCTAGATGATAGATGATCAGTTATGTTTTCAGAAGAAAATGCTTTTTTATGTACCTGTTTGAATAATAAAAGTTAATTATCTTTAACCTTGATTTTAGATCTTAATCTTATAATTTGGCTTTAGGTTTCTCTTTTTCTATAGTCAAATAAATGGTTTTCATGGCACTAAATAATTATTAATTACTTCTATTAGAAGTACGGAAATTTACATTAAAAATAGGACGAACTAATAATTCGTACAGATTGACCCCGAGATATTAACACATAAGACAGAATTCCTCTTTTTACTGGCTATTTAAAGCAATTTCTCAGTAATCATTTTTTGTCGTTGTTTCTTAAAAATTTCTAACACATTATTTCACTATTTATTCAGCCTGGTCATACTTTTTATCAAAACCTGACTGCTTGCTGTGGAGACATAAACCTGTTGCTTTTCATAGAATAGTATTAAAAGTATTTTATAGTAAAACTTTTACCAGAAAGATAGTTCCATGGCAAGTATTCGAGGACAGTATTAGAGACAACCCCAAGGTATTTAATAGAAAGTACAGACAGTCACCTTAAGTGATTTAATTTCATAAAAAAGTCTAGGTTCTTAGCAAGTTGAATGATGCCATAGCTCAGATATTTTAAATCATGCTAGTTGCTGGCTGTTAATTAGTAGCATATGGTCAAATAAAAATTTGGGGATGAAGTATATTAATACAGAGGGTTTGCTGTGAAATATATATATATATATATATATATATTTTTTTTTTTTTTTTTTTTTTTTTGAGACGGAGTTTCACTCTTGTTACCCAGGCTGGAGTGCAATGGCCTGATCTCGGCTCACCGCAACCTTTGCCTCCTGGGTTCAGGCAATTCTCCTGCCTCAGCCTCCTGAGTAGCTGGGATTACAGGCACGCACCACCATGTCCAGCTAATTTTTTGTATTTTTAGTAGAGACGGGGTTTCACCATGTTGACCAGCATGGTCTCGATCTCTTGACCTCGTGATCCACCCGCCTCGGCCTCCCAAAGTGCTGGGATTACAGGCTTGAGCCACTGCGCCCGGCCAAAATATTTTTAAGTTTTGCTATTCATCCAAGGAAATCCTAATGCTAGGCGATTCTTGCTTTTCTAACTAACAGATAAGAAGTGTAAAATGTTCAAAGCTGTATTAATCATGAATAAGTAAAATTTGCCTTTTCTGTATTTCTGCTAGAGATTGTACCACAAACCTATTATTATTTTTATCGTTAGCCTGCAAATATCAGCACATTTTAATAATTTGTTAATTTTCAGGAAGCCTAGGAGGTAAATGCAGCTAGCTAAGAGTTAGCTGGTGGGCACGCATGGTCGTACAAGTTTCCCACTGTCCATCGCTACTAGTATCATGAACATAATTGTGCTTAAAGCGTTTGTCATATTTCTGTTATTTCTCAGATTCTCAGAGAAGAAAGGTATATAAAAATTTATTTATTTTTCCTGTTCTGTTGTTGAAATGGAGATCATGTAGCAATGGAGTGTCTGGAAGAAGCAGCTGTTAGTTTTTGTAGTCTTGGCCATGTATGTTGTTTGTACAATTCAAGACATTCTTTGGTGGATAAAGTGCTTACTGAATGCTTCTTATCTCTGTGAAGTGTTTTAAAAGAGACTTATAATCTCAGTTTCTACAACAAATGAGTAAACAAAGAAATTAGAACATTTTAACTAGCTAAATGAGAAAGTTATGATTAATGCTTCTATTTTTGAAGCCTCATCAGTTGTGTTTGTGGCTGAGTTTTGTGCACTGGCACAGCAGTTGTAGTAGTTAAATGTTGAAATGCATTCATATTGGTTAGTATTCAGCTGATGCTATGGAGCCCACCAAATGTCAATTTGGGCTATGTTCAGCTGGGTGGTTCTTCTGATATAACCAGAGTTCCTGCATATAGCCACAGTCAGCTGGGAGGTCTACCCCTGGCTGATTCTGCCCAAGATGGATTCAAACACATGCCTGGAAATTGATGAAGTGACCAAACCATGTATCTCCAGCATCCAACAGGATAGCTTGGGCTGCTTCACAGGGCAGCTGGGTTCCAAAGGCAGCAAGAGAAGGTAAACATGATGCAAGCACTTTTCAAGCCCCTGTGTACATCCGGTTTGTTAATGTTCCACTAGCCAAACAAGTTACAGTGCAAATTGCAGATTCATGGAGTGGAGAACTAGATTTCATTTTCTGATGAGAGAAGTTGTGAAACATTTGTAGCCATTTTTCTTCAGCTTACAACTTGTGACCATATTTCTTCTCATGAAGAATCTAACCCAGAACAAATATTTTAAAGAGAGCCTTATGTGGGGAAAGTATACATGGGAAAAAGATGAAATATGTAATTTAGTCTGCTTTGCAAACTTTCTTCTGTTCTGATAAATTTTGGGGCATTTATAGACGCTATATTATATGTGTTTATGAAGGTATTCTTTTATAAAATGCATTTTAAAATCATTTCTCTCCATTGGGTTTTTCTTTTTAAATTTCTTTCCTTCCTGGACAAATGATAAGTTTTAAGACATAGAGGATTCACAGTTTCTTTTGGTGTACTTTCCTAGTCTGGGGCCTGCACATTATTGTTATTGGCTAAACTATATGCTCCATTGGCTAGACGTAGAGGAGAATTATACTTTAAGCATGGTTCTCTCATTTTGTTATATTTGTTTGTGATTCTTCATACTTTTGAGTAGTTGTTTAAGAGAATTATTTGAAAAACATGAATCTTTGCATTCATACATCTCTACTACCTCTTTGGGCCTTGAATTTTGAATCAATAGCATTGCTTTCTCTGGTGAATTTAAAGCTTCTCTTGCATCAAATTTTATTAGGAAGTGTATATCCAACTTGGGATATGTGTGGAGCACAGGAATTTCATCACCCAGTAGACTGGTTCTAGTGTGCTACCTATGAAACATCTAATAATGCCGTATCACACCCTACAAGCCATTTGATATCCGTTAACTGCAGTATCAATCTTACAACACATTTTTTGGTGATTCCAGAGCTTTCATATTGGCTAATTGCTGACATCAATTGTACTTGGTAATTCTCTTGCCATGTTCGTTATAGACGTGTTGTACTTATAGGACAAAAAGGCTGGTATTTTTTCTAATGTACCTGTGAGGAAATGACTTGAGAATTACTATGTTCTTTCTCTTCCCCATGGTATAAACTACTTTTTCCAAATGCATTTGACAGTATTATATATTAGCAACTTATTTAAGTAATTTTTTAGGAGCTCTGGAAAATAACTGGTGGATCAGAAAGATCCATTCATTTTGAAAACTTATTATTATCTAGTCACATAATAATAGCTGCTGAGTTATCTCCTTTGCTGTGGTTGTATAAACACATACCTGATTGTATCTTGTTCCCTATGGTTCAAAATTCTAAATTCGTTGTTCCTATTCATAAAAGTTTTCACATGCTGCTTTTGCTATGTTTAAATTCATACATGAAAATTGCCAATTGATTTCCAAGTAGCTATTAGGTGGCAAAGTCAGTGCACTGGGTAGTGTCAGGGTTATTTAATAACCAAAGGCAATCCTTTTCTGTGTAAACTTTCACCAGTTAAATTCCTCACAGAGCCACCTCTCTGTACATACAATGTAGCAGAATTCTGTTAGTGTTCTCTGGATGTATATAAAGTTTGAAAAATAGAATAAGTATGTTTTCAAAATACGTGTTTACTAGATAATACACATACTGATTGCTGGGAATGAGTGGCTTCATTTAATGTTCCATTTTCAGGGAATCCTAGGGGAAGGTTAACAAAAAGTTTAAGTTTTTATTTAATGAGAGAAGAGAATAGTAGCCAAAAGTTACTTCATAAATTTTACTTCTGTTTTCTTCTTGAACATTTGTTTAGCTTTTCACAAAGAAACACCTGGCATACTTACAGACCATTTATTTTATGCTCTTTGCCCAATGATGTGGTAGCTAATAATAGTCAGAGAAAAAAATTCCAGGAAAGAGGAGTGATGGGGATGATAATTGAAGGACCTAGAAGATTTTGCAATATGAAATATCTGTCAAAAACAATTGGCCAGACTTAGACTTTCCCTTTTGTGTCCTTTACCCTATTGATGCCACCTTCAGTTTTATCTCTTCATATCACTGTAAAATGTGAATAATCACATTCTAAAAGTAAAAGGGGAGCAAGAAATTGTTTTCTTGGACCACTTACTGCTTATAGTACACTCATCTACACCGATCATCCTGTTTATGAGGTCTTCTGTGCCTTGTTCTCCTTCCTTCTGATGGTAGGGATCAGTGATATTTGATTCTCCCATTTCCCCAGTGGGTGTGAAGTAGCAGAAATGATAGTTGAAGCTCTAGAAAGTGAGGCCCCACCATGCAAATTCACCCTATTAATTCTGTTATGGTTATGTTTCTTTTCTTTTTTGAGACAGAGTTTCGCTCTTGTTACCCAGGCTGGAGTGCAATGGCCTGATCTCGGCTCACCGCAACCTCCGCCTCCTGGGTTCAGGCAATTCTCCTGCCTCAGCCTCCTGAGTAGCTGGGATTACAGGCACGCGCCACCATGCCCAGCTAATTTTTGTGTTTTTGGTAGAGACTGGGTTTCACCATGTTGACCAGGATGGTCTCGATCTCTTGACCTCGTGATCCACCCGCCTCGGCCTCCCAAAGTGCTGGGATTACAAGCGTGAGCCACCACGATGTTTACGTTTCTTAAATAGCCTACTAATTTTTCTTGGAAAATATGTCAAGATGAGATCCAAACCATATTGTTTAATTATTTCTTCTTTTAAAATTATCCTTATTGAAGTATAAATTATATACAATAAACAATATCCATTTAAAGTGTTCAATTCAATGATTTTTGACAAGTGTATACACCCATGAACTTACCATTACAATCAACATTCAGAATTCTGTCATATAAAAGTTTTCTTCTCAGTCTATTCCTCCATCAGATCCCTGACTCTAGCAATTAATGAAATCTTTATTTTGTCACCTTAAAATAGTTTGCAATTTCTACAATTATGTATGAATAGATACAGGTACTATAGACTTTTTTGTTCCTTGGTACTGGGCATAATGTTTCTGACCCATCCATGTAGTTGTGTGTGTCAGGAGTTGGTTTCCTTTCATTGCTGAGTACCATTTCATTGCATAGATAACCACATTTTGTTTATCCATTTACCTTTTGGTGGACATTTAGTCCATTCTGTTTTCATATTTTTTTCACCAAATCTTCCTCTATCATACCATGTGCTAATTGTTTTATGTCCTTAAGCCTAGATTTTATTTATATTTTGTTATTTACTGTACTACATGGAAATATAGTTTCACTATACACTACCAGAGAACCAATATATTATTAAGTTTATATAAGACATGTATATCTAAGTGGAGTTATTTATGATTTAAAAAATGAGTTCTCGATTTTTTGTCCCAGAGAAAATAGATTCTAATCAAGAATGTATCATTTTTTCTTCCAGAGAAAACTTTTTTATCTCTGGCCCATTTTGCCACTTTGATGGCAGCAATGATGAGGATTTCTGCAGAAATGTATGCTGACATCTAAGTAGATCAGCAGCCCTTCAACATAGCACTTCCTTGGTTCAAAGAAACAGTACATGGCATGAAGGGAGATTTCAGTTATTAAAGTTGGTAAATGAAATGAAAAGTTTTTTATATTCCTAATTCAAAATGTAAGCTTTTTGAAACTTTTATTAATGTTCCTAAGGTGTCAACCATTTGAGCTGGAAGTTGCATTCACCAGGGGAGCAGCAGCCACTTCACTGAGGCAAATTTAAGACCAGTTTTATCCCTGCCAAAATAGTATTGCTACTGAAGTGAAAACAAATGTGACTTTTGGGAGTTGTTCTTTTAAATCTTCAGACTTAACCTCCTAAATCTAATATAAGTGTCTAAGTACATTCACATTTCTAAGTTCTCTGGGGCCATTTTCCTTTCTGTCCTCTCTTCTCTCTCCAGTTTTCTTCCTCCTTCATTTTCCATCTGCATTTGCACTTTTCTCTTTTTCTTTCCTCTAATCATAAAGAAGGGTTGGCCACTAGAAATTCGTTTTCAGCTCTGCTTTGACTAGCTTGCTTCTGAAATTTTGCTTTCCTAACACAGAAATCTCAATGATATTGCTGAAGCAAGTTCTATATCCTATACCCTGGCAAGGTTCCTAGAACTGGTCCCAGTGGGATTTCTCTTTTAGAAGCTGCCTTAAGATCATTGTAGCATCATTTAGTTTTCTTTCCTAAAAGAATTCTGAGTGCATCTCCTTAAAATGTTTTACCAAACTACTTGACCACCCCATCAATGTTAAGATGGTGTATTTAACAACACAAACATATGTGTCTGTATATATATATGCACAAATATACGTATGTACACACACACACACACATACACACACACCTCTAAACCACTAATTAAACCTCTGAAAGCACCTTCCTCTTCTACCCCAATAGCATTTCTTTCCTTCTACTCATAGATGCTTTGGCTGTACTGACTGTATGAGACTCCTGGGATTCTATCTCATTCCATCTCATGCTAAACTAATCACAGCATACTGTGGCTTAGTAATGATGGCATAACAATTAGGTGGTTCTACATGTGCTTCTAAATACAGCCTGGGCCCTTGGTGAACCAGTTGGCTAAGTGGGTGAGTGAATGAGCAGTGGAATAGCTATTGAACAGAGGTATTGATAGGATGTGTGGTGGGTTGATTTTGAGCATTAGTAACACAAAATTGCCATTTATTATTTGATTTACTACCATATTTAGCAATGACTCTTCCAGTAGGGAGAAAATATATCAGATGGGCTAATGGACAGTTACTGGTTTTGTAAAATTATTATAATTTGGTAAGTGTCACTTATTTTAAAATTAAAACTGCCACTAATACCATATAGTGCCATTACACCAGAAATGATGTAATCATTTTTTAATTAGGTCTGTAACCAATATTTAGTGAGCCTGTACTTATATGTAGAACATTCTACTGTGCCAGTGACATTGATGAGACATTTTCTTGATTTGGGTATTATTTAGGTCTTTGAAATCAATTTATTAATTTATCATTCAAAAAACTCAGTGAGTACACATACCACTCCTCTATGAGCCAACAAATATTCTGTATTGTGAAGATGAACACAAATCAAGAAGACACTCATTCCTACCCTTGAGTCTTGCAAGGAAGACAGACATGGGAACAAATAATGATAGGACATCCCAGTGCCATGGGAATCTTAATGTCATTGTTACTTAGCATGCCTTTTATAACAGACTCTTCTGGAAAACTCAGGGGGGTATAGGGGAAGAAAACTAATTTAGTTAGCTAGACCCATTTCATTGCATTAGGGGGCCTTCTATTTAGGGGAAAACAAATTTTAGTCTTAGGCTTATTTTTAAAAATATTATTGCAAATATGTATTTAGAAATGTTGTTCTAGTATTCCTTAAATAGTGTTAATTGTGTTTTGTCATTTGTCTTTGGAATAATGTTTTCTATTGGAAAAAAGTATTTTATAGCCCATATTTATAAAGATACTGGGGAGCAATGAATTAGAATCAAGCAAAGGCAGGGATATTCTGACAAATGATGATTTATTTTCTCTGCAGATGATTGTAAATTCAGATATTAGTGTTTACAGTTGGGTTGTGTCTATCCTTGCTGGTCTTCATGATTTTTCATGCTATCACTAATGTGGTATTTTCATGAGCTGACAATTCTGCATAGTGGGTTTTGGTTGTTTTCCAGCATCTACTGCTTGCACAGAATAGCCTTGCAGAAAGTTAGTAATTGATCATTTTAACAACAATGGAATTCCACTTACGGCATTTTGCTCTTCTAGGTAATTGAATTGAGCGAGAAAGCTCATTGCTGTGTTCTCTCTCTCTCTCAAAATGATAATATAATGGACCCCAGTTAAACAATAATACAATTTTTCTCACAGGAATCCCCAAGTAAGCAGATATATTAGTTATTTATGTCTACATTTCTGCTTTTGGCTTATGAGGGATGGCTTTCATACAGTGCTTTTGTGTTTGAGTCTCAAATGGAAGAGTAATTATTGGGTGCATTATAGACTAATGTTTGACTGGTCTAAAGTGAGTCCAATAAGAGAGCGGTCTCATATTTCATGGTTGTAACTTGAGTATTCTCCCTGAAGTACTTAAAAAAAAGAAATAAACAAACTCAGTTTTTTTTTTGTTGTTTTTTTTAAGAACATTACCTAGTCCTAACTACTCTTACCTTGCCTTCCTACTTTGTGGTTTCTACCTGCTGGTGTTGAAGGCTGCTTTTGTGGAGCAGGTGAGAAGGCAGGGATAGACAGAGAATCAATGACATCAGAGAAAGCCACAAATAAGATAACACATGTTAACTGCCTACAATGATACCTGGCACATAGTAAGTGCTCAGTGTTTGGTCATGATCATGATTATTATTCTCATTACTCAACTTTACTTTTACATACATGTCTCATGATTATGTCTGATTAAATAATTGAAGTATTTCTCACCATTCCCCATAATCATTAGCAACAGAAAATTTTTATTTTTGAATATATCAAATTGACAAATACGAGAATGATAACAGAATTTTTCCAGATTTTTCTTTTTGTGATTAATGTGTATACAAGTCATATTGAAACATGTTCCAGCATTAGTTTCCTATTGCTGTTTTTAAAAATTACCACAAATTTAGTGGCTTGAAGAAACACAATTTTATTACCTTACAGTTCTGGAGATCATAAACCCTAAAATCAAGGTGTTAGCAGGGCTACATTCCTTCTGGAGGCTCTAGGGAAGAATCTGTCTTTTGTGTTTTCTAACTGCTAGGGGCAGACTATCTTCCTAGGCCTCTGGCCTTCTTCCATCTTCAAAGCCAGCAGCCACATCACTCCAAACTCTGCTTTCCATCTCATTTTCTGACTCTGACCCTCCTGTTTTAAGGACCCTTGTGATTGCATTAGGCCCATCTGGATAATCCAGGATAATCCCCCCTTCTCAAGATCCTTAACTTAATCACATCTGTAAAGTCCCTCTCACAGGTCTAGGAATTAGGACATGAACATATTTGAGGTACATTATTATGACTGATGCAAGATCCAGAGAAAATCATGACCATTACATGTTGGATGAAATCATGGAACTTTAGATCTAAAAAAATACTTTATATCACACCTTTTAGAGATTAAAAAAACTAAAACAATAAAGAAGGATTATATCACCAAGGACTAAAACCCAGGTCTTTGATCCATAATCCAATGATGTTTCTACTGTTTTTATGCAGCATTTCTTTAAACTATGCCCATGGCTAATTAATCAGTTTTTATTAACAGTCTGCATTGTAAAATTCTGAATAGTGTTTGAAAACTGAATTTGAAGCCACTTTGAAATCTGACAATCTACCCTCTTGGACTTCATTTTTGACACACTTAAAAGAAGAGCTTAATACTTCAAAATTATTAGTTAAGTGACATTTTAAAAAAGGAAGAAGTACCTTAGGGCTCCCCGAAGAAATCTATAAAATTCATAACTGTGGCTCCAGTTGAATTTGTGCTGCCCAGAATTCCTCCTCCTCAGAGGGGAAAATATAATCCTTGTGAAGAATTCTCAGTCAGACACCAATTAAGAGACACCCATAGTAAAAATGGTAAACAACTGATTGATTTTTATGAACAGCAAGCATGATTTGACTTGTGCCTTGCTTATTTTGATAGGCTATTATTTAATGGGCTGTTGAGAAAACTTCTGGTACTATTTTATTTCCTATGTTTCATCTGTGTAGTATACCAGGATGTTATAGTCAAATAGAACAGCATGTTCTTATGTACAAATATATGTAGTTTTTATGGAGCTCACCCAAGGATAAGTTAGAAACTGGCTCACTGCCTCTATTTCCTTTTTCTTTTTTAATCTTTTGGCAGTTTGAATTTTTACAGTCTATAGAGGATATATTTGGTCACTTTGATGCTGTTTTATTTTCTGGAGTGCCTTTCAGGTGAACTGAAACATAGACAGCTGATCTTGTCATTTGTATTCACAAAACATTTGTGAATTACCTAATCCAATAAGCAAATTTTTATTGAGCACATTCTGTGTTCAAAGAATCATGCTGGGGATACCGAAATGAACAAGACACAACATTTTGTAATAGGAAAGCTATCAACTTCATATTCAACTTTAATTCTTATCTCCTTTTTAGCCCTTAGTGGTAGTGAGACTGCAGCAAATACTTAACTCCTTTGACTTTGTTTGCTTACCATCAGAAGTGGAAAAGTGAGACACACCTCACAGGGGTGTTACAAGGATTACATTGAGTTATTATCTGTGCAAATATGAAATACAATGTGTGCACAGAGCAGGTGCTTCCTAATTGTTAGTTTTCTGGTTCAGAGATCTCACCGTTTAGTAGGAAAGATGAGATGTCTATAAATAACTGTAGTACAGGGCGAAGGTGATGAATGAAACAAGAGCCATCCAAATACGGAGCTGTTCAGAGATGAACTATGTTATAGGGATCAGAGAAAGCTCCTTAGAGTATCTTCATGGCATTTTCGCTAGTCGTTAAAACAGGAAAAGGATTTCGACTTTCAGAGATATAGGCCCTGTGATTTATGCTCCTGTTTCCTGGTTGATCTCCCCACTTGATTACCTTCTATGCCATATCTTGTACATTGCCCAGTTCTTGGATTTTCTGGTTTTGTCTCTTTCAATCTAACTTCTGCCTATGCCTTTGTGTCATCAAAGATTAATTGCCTTTCCTGCAAGGGCACTCTGGGTTATTGCTTTTTTACACTTCTCAAAGGTGTATGTAATGCAAATAAAATAATTTTATTTATATTTTAAGAGGCAAGGAATTTTTCCCCAAAATAACTTCTGGTAGTGAGATGGATCCAATTAATCTCATGTGGGTGGTTTGCAGAGATTTAGGACTAGTTTTGGGGTATGCTCTTCATGGCCTATAGAATCAAGATTTTATTTCTTAGGAAAAAAGCTATTTTTTTTTTCTTTTAGATTGTGTGGTGCTGGAAATCCTACCTCTGACAGTTGCTCACACAGCTGGCTCCACCTGTGTGACTCGGCATCACAGCCCATGTTAATCACAGTATGACCTCCATTGGCCTCCGCAGACCTAATTTAGAAAATTGACTCATTTTGCACAGACTACCGAGCAGCTATTTGGAGCTGCTGTCTTCTAGTGACTTACAGCTTGAACTAGGTTGAGAGTCTCAAATTGACATTTCCCCCTATGTACTTTAAAAAACATACCACCTTTACCAAACTCTATGTATTTCTCATACTCCCACTATGCTCATGTTAGAGTGACCAAGTGTTCTGAATCAAAGCTTGGAAAATATAGTATGATGTAGGATATAATTTTGAGGCCTAATATATTTAATGTGTATGTGTATGTGTGTATGCATACATATATATGTATATATATGTGTGTGTGTATGAATATAGCTTAAACCTACTTAATTGTAGCTCTATTACTAATAAGTAGATCATTTTCTCCTCTTTGGGTCTTAAATTTTAAAAAATGAGTATCCTTTAAATTTTAGCACTGACTAATACCAAGATGGGCAAATCTGATTAGAGCACAACATATTAAAGGTTCTTAATAGTTATTAATAGCTCTTAATTAATAGTTATTTATAGCTCTTAATGATGTAAGAGGATGTGTTTTTATTTGGGGGAAACTTCAGCAATGTGGTTGTACTTTTGTTCCTTCCTCACTCATAATAAAACATTCCCAGGGCCTCTATTTTTGGTTTGGGATCAAGTAATTGTATGCTGACATGGCTTTGTCCTCCATTCTTGGCTGGGAATTCTCATTAAAGAAATCCTGTACCATTAAATCACTGTCTGGAAGATATTGGTGATGAAGATTCAGAGAGGCAACAGCTGCCTCCCCAGAAAGGAACCCTGTTTCTGTCTCTGCATTTGGACTTCAACGAATAGAGTTTTGTGAGGAGAGCAAAAGAATTTATACTTGATCCTATGATCAGGTGTTGCTCATGTGAGTGGGCCAATTAGTGATGCATGGATTACAGATACAGGGTTTCCCTGGGGGCCCTGTCTATGCTTAATGACAGGTTATAGTTTTGCGTTAGGCTAAATGTCTAGAAGATAAAAGAAAAAAATCAAGAAGTATTAAAGCTTTGTGAAATTTTAGAATCTACTCAATACGTCTTTTGTAAGAGATGGAAACTGAGAATTTGATAAGAATATATGTGAATTCATCTAATCAAGTTTACCAGTGTGTTGGGGTGGGATGATTTGGTGGAGACTGTAAGAACCTGGAATGCTTTTTTCATCCTGTTGTCAACCCAGTTTCTCATTCAGCTGTCACTTTACTCTGTTTAAGTTCTGTCTGCTTTTTTAAAATATATGAATTTGGTTGTTATTAGATGGTTAGTCCAGGTGAATGTTGGATCGTATTTGACTTATTTATTTATTGGCGTTTTCAGGGAGCAATTGATTATGAGTTGGCTCTGTGTCCCCACCCAAATCTAATCTTGAATTGTAATCCCCACGTGGTGAAAGAGTGTCCAGGTGGGGGGCACTGGATCATGGGGATAGTTGCCCCGTGCTGTTCTCGTGATAGGGAGTTCTCAGGAGATCTGTTGCTTTTAAAAATGGGAGTTTTGGTTGCACACGGTGGCTCTCACCTGTAATTTCAGCACTTAGAAAGGCCGAGTAGGTGGATCACCTGAGGTCAGTAGTTCAAAACCAGCCTGATCAACACAGAGAAACCCGGTCTCTACTAAAAATACAAAATTAGGTGGGTGTGGTGGCACATTCCCGTAGTCCTAGCTATTCAGGAGGCTGAGGCAGGAAAATTGCTTGAACCTGGGAGGTGGAGGTTGCGGTGGGCCGAGATCTTGCCATTGCACTCCAGCCTGGGCAGCAAGAACTAACCTCCGTCTCAAAAGTGGGGGGAAGTTTCTCCTGTGTGCACGTGCTGTCTCCTGTTGCCTTGTGAAGAGGATGCCTGCTTCTCCTTTGCCTTCCGCCATGACTAAGTTTTCTGAAGCCTCCCCAGCCACGTAAAACTGTGAGTCAATAAAACTTCTTTTGTTTATAAATTAAAGAGTCTCATGTAGTATCTTTATAGCAGTGTAAAACAGACTACAACAGCAATTATATTTACTGTGAATCATAAAAAATAGTCACAAATGAGGGCACAATTCTGTTCTCAGTATTTGCGAATCATCTTGAGCAATACAATCACTCCAAGAACTTTTAACTCTAAAGCATGGGCTGAAGGCATCAACATCTTTTTTAGGATGTGCTGCTATATTAAAATGAGTCAGTTTCAAACTCTAGATCCGTTAGTACTTTGACTCCAGGCAAATATACAGGAGCCTTGTGAATATCGTCTAATGTAGCAGAAATTCACTTTGATACAAGTTTGTCCGGAGCCCTAGCCAAGATTTTCATTTTTCTTTTACCTTTTCAGTTTTAACGAGATAGAGCAAAAAGACTTCACTGTAATTCTTTTTATAATATGGATTCTGTGAATGAGGTAGTAAAGGCCTCTGTGCACTGCATATATATATATCTTTCCTGTGTTGCACATTTTACATATATATATGTATATATACTACAGGGAATTATATTCTGTAGCAGTTTTCTCCAAGGATCTCTATAGGCAGTTAATAGTAGTTGAAAAAAAGGAGCCGTATTTGAATGATTGAGTTAAACAGAGTAAAATTGTTTCTTTGTGGTGCTTCTTAGAGCCTACAATCTGCTAATGTGTGTAGTGAATTTCTGTGAGGATGATGTGTGGACTTTCTCACATTTTTAAATATCCCTCCTCTTATTTTTTGGTAGAGTATCTTATTGGACTTTTGTTTCACAGAATTTGGTCAATGATATTTACAGGATTAGAAATAGGCATTTTTGAATTTTTTGGTTGAAATTCTATGAAACAGCTCTTGGGATCTGGGCTTCTAAGATTATGGTTTTAAAACTTCATGCCTGTGCATTTGCTGGGTATCTTGTTAATATGCAGAATTTTCTTCAGTTGGTCTCCATTTGGGCAGTGATTTTGCATTTCTAACGGGTTCCCAGGTGATATTAATACTACTGGTGTTTAAGCATTCTTTGAGCAGCAAGGCTCTAGATGTACGTAAGGGCATTCGCAGGTGAAAAGTGTTAAAGATGGTCTCTGCCACCTGGAGCCTGGAGGTAAGTTGTTTAGAGAGGTTTCAAATTAGGGCACTGGAAGTTGGAGCTGAATAAGTAGTTATACAAACCAGATGATCTGCTTGTATATTACTTATAATCTGTTTATTTTTCCTTATATTTTTTTCATGGCTATGAGAGATACACACACAAACATAGATTCAGAACAAAATAGCAAATAGTTACATGCTTTGACACTTGCTGTGTCTATCTAAAATATCCCACGGCCTTTTGAGAGGTCCCTGGTAGGAGAGTTTAGTTCTCTGTTCTGTCAGCAGTAAATTTGAATGGAAAATACACATGTGGAATGCTTGTTAGACCTCATTTAACCCCTTGCCTATCTCAACATCCATGCACTCAGCCAAGGACAAAGACTTAACTGACTTTCTATGTGAAAATGTATCAGTGATTCAGAAGAGGTTTTAATTGTTTAACGCTGGGATAACAAGATTTGCCTTTTGTGTTAACTCCATCCTTTAATATCTAAAAGGATGTCCATAGAAAGATTCAAGGCTATGGTCTGAGCTTGATGAGAAAGAGTGACACATTAGATTAATGACCTTTCTCCTGAGCATGAGAAGAAAAATATCCTCACAGGAGCTGAGCTGCATATTTGACATCCCTGATAAAGCGTTAGGTTATGCTGACACCACATTGTCCCAGATGATCTTCGCACCTTCCGATTTGCTTAATATCCCTGGTCAAACACTTAAATATTGACAAAAGCTACGATAAAAATTATTTTCTTAAAATGCCATTTTATTTTCTTTAGTACTAAAGCTGCAGTTTAGGTTGTGTGTTCAGAGTAGGGGGGCCAAGAATCCAGTGAAATACCTGAATAGTGCTAAAAATAAATTCAATGTAATTCCTTTAAGTCCTTTCTCAGTGCTCAGATTGTTTACTCTTCAGATTCCTTGCTAACATATTCTTTCTAATAGAGTTTCTGTTAGAGTCAATTAGTTAATATTTATTTATAATTAGGAACTCCTATTTGTATGCAATTGAATCATTAAAAGTCTTTCAGCAGGTTAAATTTGTTTTCTGCAGTTTTGATTACAAATACTTTCTTAATTTTTGTTACAAAGTTAAGCTTTAGTTTAATTCTTGGTCATGTCAAAAATTTTAAATTGAGTCTAAATTGTGATTTGATTATATTAGAATTTTGTAATAAAACATTAACAATTATAACAGTTAAGATGCTTCTTTTATGTGTTAGTTTATCAGGGAAGAAGACATTCAGCCTAATACAGATACCCAGCATAAAAAAGTTAGCATATTCAAATTATCCAATGGTTTATTCAACTATAAACTCTGGTTTTTAAAGAATGATATAAAATTTGCTTGGCACATGTTGTACTCTAGTGCATATGTTCTTGTGTTGGTGTATATCGTTTTACTTTGTTTTGTTTCCTTGTTCTTCATATACATTCAAATAGGAGCATTTCTGACTTGGTAGTAAAAGGTCAGGATAAAGAGCTCTAGGGTATGCTATCCCCATTTGTGAGTTGTATGTAATTTGTTAGGCTTCTCTTATGTCCACCATTTAAAAAATTTAAATGGCTGGCTCTGACTGTATCACAGCTATGTAATATAAGAATGCAAAATCTACCATAGTTGGACTACTGTAAATTCAGCATATGTTGTTGCATAATTAAGATACTCCATCTGAAGACAATAAAAAAGCTAATTCAAATGTGTACAGAATATGGTTTTCTCATTCTTATATTAGGAAAGATGAGAATCTAGATTACTAGGCAGAAAAATAATAGAGAAATTTGTCAGAGCTACTTGTAAGCTTATGCTCACATTCTTAACGTTTGTATATTTGCTTTCATGTAGCCTATGCAAATCACATTGTCTATTGCATGGGGGAGAAGAGATCGTAGTGTGATAGATAATTCTCCTTGAGAGAAGAGACTGGGTCTTTTAAATTCTTTCCCTACATGCTTTGTGCTATGCTCTATACAGAGCAGGTATATTGATTGCAGAATCTTCAAATCATTTCTATATGTCTTTGGGCTGTAAGTAGGAATAAAATCAGGCAAAGATGATAAATGAAGACTATAACATAAAATGTTTAAAAATGTCTATCAAAAGCCATTTATGGTGAAGGAAGGAGAGAGGAAAGGCTCAAAAGCATTAATTCAGTCAAAACAGGTGATAAATCAGTTATTGTAACAAAGTGTTGGTTATTTGAGATTCTTCCGATTTCTTTAAAAAGTACATACAATTCCATTCTTTTTAGTTTGTTCACTACTGACATAATTTTCTTGAGTGTGTTTTTCCCACGTTCTGAGTCACTTTTGCAGCCTCAGCCTCACTGCTGCTTAGGCAGCACTGAGAAGTAGTTAGGACAAATGAACTATCCTTTTGTGCTCTCAGAAGAATGGGCTCTATTATCCAGAAGGCATTATTAATTGTCAACAACATGGGAATTTTTAGCTTTAAAGAGAAATAAGACTTTTGGAGTTAAGTATCACTATATAATACTTTGCATAGATAGGAAGTTATATTCACAAAACAGCCTGCTGCCAGTTTATCATGTATATATAATTGGTGCCTGTTGTCAGTGCATAACATGGTTGTCTTCTGTTTGCTTCAAGAGTAGGACGAGACAATAAGATTAGAATGTGGAACTTTAGCCATGAATCTTAACTGAGTTTGCTAAATTGTTACTTTAAAGAGTTTTTGCAGTAGACTTGAACCAGTGCTATCTAATTCATTGAAACCTAA